TTTTTTCCTGTTGCTCCACTGGCTGTCAAGGCCCACCATAGAGCGCTCTCATCTTCCCCTGAGAGTCAGGATAGACATGATTTCATCATAACTTTGTCCATTGAGAACTCTGTAGGAGCGGAGTCCATCCACAATCGGGCAATGTTTTTCACTCTGTGGATTAGCTCAACTTGATGTTTATTCTACAAGAGCTCTGAGGAAAGAAACATCAGCCCGCGTTGTTTTTTGGAGATACTAATATCATGATATATTTCAAAACGTAAAGCAAAGTAAAATACGATGATAATACCAAAAGACCTACAGTTCTGTAAGATTGATTTTGATAATTAGATGTGTCCTTCACTTTAATTAAGCACTGCAAATATTATGGTGAGTCTCAGAAAGAGTGTTCACTGTTGTATAAGTAGCTGATAAAACTTTAAACAAAGAACATGACTGATAATCAGTAATTATAAAGGATAGTGAAGCATTTATTTTGATGCCATCAATAATTTTGAAAAAGCAAACAACATTTTAAAACCTTTTAGTAAAGCTCTTGAATTTCTGTTTGTGTTTTTAACATTTAATTAAGATAAACTTGTTCAACATATGCTTCCATTATTCAACTATGTGAAATGAGGAACAAGTTTTACAGTCAGACTTTGTGTTTACCTCTTGTTGAAGATAACTTGAACTCACTGAGTACAGGTAGAGATGACTGTGTGCATAATACAGTGCACCTACCTTCCTCCATTGTATTTACAGTATATCAGCTGTTGCTGCTGGGGATCAAGCAGCTGTAAAAAAGAAAAAATAAAGAACAAATGACAACATAAGACATCAGAACAGTATGTTGTCTATGAAATTCTCAGTCATCCAGGTCATAGTTATCCAACGAGGTTAAAGTCAAGGGCAACTGGACTTGGTTGAAGATACTGGAAGACGTTTCGTCCCTCATCCAAAGGACTTCTTCAGTTCTGACTGACCTGCAGGGAAACTCAGCTTTTAATCTCAGTGGGGTCGTTTGCCAGGTCATCGATACTGCTGGTTCGTTATGTTCCTTGTTGCTGTGACGACAGTTGTTACAGTCATTAGACTACCAGAGGCCAAGACTGAACGACCATCGTTGGTATCTTCACCTGAGGTCAATAGGTTACGTTAGTTGAGTTTCCTGGGAAGTGATGAAAGGACAGCATGTAAGTGGGGGATAAGTGGTGGCGTAGACCCCCTCCCCTGTTCAATGACGGCTTCTCGACCCGGTGTAGATGGCTTCCTTGACACCTCTTTCAAACCATCTTCTCTGTCTAAATGTGCACCTGGTGGTCCTCAAACGAGTGTCCTCTGTCCTTCAGATGTAAGTAGACTGCAGAGTCTTGACCTGAGGAGTTGGCCCTTCTGTGTTGAGCCATGCATTTGTTTGGTTGTTTAGTCTCCCCATATACAGGTCTGTGCATTCCTCACTGCATTGGACCGCATACACTAGATTGCTTTTCTTGTGTTGGTGCGCGGTCTTTGGGGTGGACCGGTATCTGTCTTATATAATAAAAAATTTGATTTTAATAAACAGAACATAAGATTTTCTATGGCCAGATCCCAGATTCAACCAGCATCTATTGCTTGAAAGATGTGTCCTTGCTCACTTTCTGGATCTGTGCAAACAAAGAAATTCAGTGAAATCACGACTCCAACGATGGTGCTAGAATAAATATGAGGGATCACCAAAACACAAAAATGACTTTAAAATTACAGAATGATGTTTATGTTACATGTTATCATGGTTTCAGGTATCTCAAATCTCATATCCTCTTTGTTTTGCAGGGCACCTACCCCCCTCTGTGGTATTTACACCAATGCACAAGCTGATGATCCTGCTGCAACACATTTAATGACACTCCAAAGTGGGATAACATTAAAACTGCACACAAACGTTTGCCCTTAATATAAATCAAACTTTGGTACCCAGGTACTACCTTACGGAGCTCTGTTTTGCTCACAGACTAAGATGTGTAAGATTCTTCTATAAACATTGAAGAGTATGCTCAATGACTGGCTACATCAGTACATACATTGACCCTAGCACCAACCATACAGGTCAGAACATATCCAAACCAGAAGAACATTCAGGCACGATACATGCTGCATGCTAGCTCTCTTGGTTTAGATCAGGCTTTGAGGTGGAGTACATACTGCAGAAAACAATCAAAGAGACAAAACAACAATATAAAGAGAAGCTGGAAGGCTACTATTCCACTGCTGATGCCAGGTGCATGTGGCAAGACCTGCAACAGATCATGGACTATAAGGCCCATCATTTCCTACCTGAACAGCTTAAATTCTATTCCTGCTTCGAGACCTCCAACAGTGAAACAGAGAGGAGGCTCTCACACACCAGAACATGCAAGAACCTCCAATTTCTGACTCAAATGTCTCATCACTGATGTCTCTTGTACAGGCCACAGTTCCGACATACTTTAAAACCAACACCATCATCCCAGTCCAGTCTGAATGACGTACAGCCCAGTTGCACTGACTCCAATCATAATGAAGTGCTTTGAGACAGTGGTTCAAGACCTAACAAAATGACATATAGCATCAGACAGTAAGACGTCACAGACGTGAAGTGTTGTCTCACACATTGGTCTATCTATTATCTATCCGTCAGTCTGTCTGTCTATCACAGGTACATGCGATCATTTACTGATTTTCTCTGATGCCTTAATATTTTAAAGGTTCACTGTCTAAGATTTAGAGGCATCTAGTGGTGGTGTTGTGAATTGCAACCAGTCTACATAGAGTCTACCAATGCCCCTAACCTTTCAAAGAACGTAGGACAGCTACGTGTCTGACACAGCACAAAAGGTGTCTCTTCTGAGACAGCAGAGAGTGGCCAGTCAAGAAGTGAGGTTTCAGGTATTTTATTAAGAAATTATTTTCATTAATCCCTTAACACCTGAATTTTTTTACAATCAAAAAATAAAAAAATTATTTGTGTTTTCATTTGCTTTCAAGCTGATGTTAAATTAAGTGAAGATTGTTATTTGTCTATAGAACATAGAAAATTATATAAATTCTTGTATGTGTAGGTATGATGCAAATTAGCGACAATAGGCATAAATGAGAAACCAGGGCTTGCAAAAGGTTGCTAGGTTCGTATCAAATATGCACCAACAGCATTGGGGGAATCCATGTGCTATCTTGGCTTGCAGTCTGCAAGGAAGGTATGATGCAAATTCGTGACAATCGGTGTCAAGGGTTTTAATTATTCAGGAAAATCATATGTTATTGTGACTTGGCCACTGACAGACAACATGGAAAATGTAACCAAGAGTGTTAAACATTGTCCTGTTTCTGCACCACAGTCCATTATAAACCACATTAGATAAAGTTTATACAATATGGCAAGGAAAACACATTCATTCTCTTTGTGATTATGGACCATCGCCAAAACTGCCCGCCATCAATATCTGGTCCACTGCCAGATCATGGTGCTTTGATAGCAGCAAAACAAAATAAAAGCGTGACTGCAATCTTGTATTTGAAGTTGAACTGAGCTTTTACTTTGAAAAATTCTGAAGGACATTCAGTCTGTAGCTGCTTGACACACCTCTGAAAGAGCAGTCAGAAAACGTGATTCCCCTGAACGTCCACTGCCTGAATGCAAAAGCTTCTGTATTGATGGTGGATCAAACACCGAAACAAAAACAGTGCAGCGCATGCCGTGATCTGAGAAACGTTCGCTGCAGAATCCATTTGTTGAAGAGAGAGAGAGAAAAAAAAAATTGTACAAAACCTCAAACCTTGGGTTACAAGTCCTCCACCTTATCAACAGAGTTAACCAAACAACACATTGATGCAAGTTAATATTATAGCTTATATTCCTTCCACCATTTAATGGTTGAAACTTTTGTTCCAATTCAAAACTTATTTGCAGACCCCTGCAGTATATTACTACTTTTCTTCTTCTAACGTACGTATTCAACACAGTGATGAGTGTCTACACTGCCTGAATTCTACCAGAAGCAGAAGAACGTAGTGACGAAACGCGCTCTGTAGCGCTGTTTGTCCGATTTCAGCTACTGTAGAAACAGACAATGCGTGGAAGGGGGTGCCCGGTTATGCGATATAAATGGCTCATTCTAAGGTAATAAAAACATAATAGTTTATTATGTAAGGTCTTTACACACCACTGAAAACATGGTTATGGATCTTATATTGCATTTCTGTCGATAGATCCTCAGAAAAGTTACACACTGAACCTTTAAAAGTGTAATGAGACAGAAATCACACAATTTTTAACCTTAAAGTCATCTAACCTGAGTTATGATTGTGTTTACATCTGTATTTCAAATCAGCTCATAACATCAGTAACCATCCAATAACTGATTTATAGTTTAAGCAAACATTTCTAGGAGAAATGGTTGCAGTTCCAGTTACCCTTGGATTCTGAACTGGTGTCTAGCAATGTCTGCACCAGATCATTCCTGTTTATTGTCCTGAAACCTTCTTGGTCACCTCCACAGACTGTTGGTGTAGGTCTGCAGCATCAGATCCACTAGATCAAACATGTCTGCATTCTCCAGTCGGCTGCTTGGGATGCATGGGAGGCCTGCCAGGATGTCACCGTCCTTCAGGAACCACTTGAATTGCTTGAATTCTTCCAATTTTAATGTTGCAGCATTTTCAAAAGCCTCTCTCTATCCTTTGTGACTTTTGCTGCCTGATGAATTTACAGCAAACAAACAAGATGTTTGAGTATAACTTAATTGATGGATTGAATATTATAGTTTGAGTTTGGTTTTTCATCACCATTTAAAGTACTGGGTGATTTCCAACCTGCATCTTATTGAATGAAAGCTGTGCTGTGTAGAGTCAGAGTGATGTGACATTACTCACTTGCAGTGGAGACAGGTGTTCATGTTCATGAAAAGAAATAAAAAAAACAGTGGCTGATTTAACATCTGATTTTAAACATTTAGTGTCAGTCTTATTGATTCATAAAGATTTACATAGTTTTTTTGACTAAATGACCAACAAAGCAAATGCAATCTTGAATCTATCACTCTACTTACTGTGATAAAATGATCAAATAAAGTTGATCAAGTGCAGATACTCTCTGACTGTAATGAGCTGTGATTTAATCTGATCTTAGCCTGCTAGTGTTGTATGTTGTAATACAGCATACAGTGGCAGCATTTGGCTCATATATGGAAGTGAAGTGTGTGTGAATGTGAAAATATTATTTGGCTACATAGATTCGCTAAACTCCAAAAACTCTCATTGGCAAAGAACAAAACTTTCAGCTAGCAGGTTGCAGCTCATATCCGCGGTTGCTAATTAACGTTAAGGCTGTGAGTAACTTGATAAAAGGCCAGAATTAAACATGTTGGGTTTGTGTTCTCTTTCCAGTCTGTGCTGGTACTCAGACAAAAATACAGAGGCACAGCAAATAGTTTTCTTCAATGATTAGAGATATAGGCTTCGTCTCACAGAGACTCTTGCTTCATTTAACTTGTCCTCTACTTGCTCTTTCTGGTTTTGAAGACACATTTTTTAGTCGCCTCATTGCCTGCCTATATTTGAACCACTCAATAGATAAGTGTTTGAAAGGTCTACATCATCATTGTCATTTCACATGAGCTTCTAAAGTGAACTCTTAAAGAATACTTTTAGTATTTTAGTAAGTAAAAGCAGCACAGATATTGGAAAACTTTCATTCAAAAAGAATTGTTTGGATTTTTTTTTAGCGCATTACGTGATTGGGAAGATTGTCAAGCAAAGCCAATTCAAAGAGTCTGAGAGGCCAAAAGCAATCCAACATTTGATTTCCTGAACTAAGCAAATCTGAAGCCTTGTGTCATTGTGTAACTTGATATGCAATGTATTTGACATTGCAGTGAATTGCAAAGTAAAACTGAAAAAATATTTACACCACAATACCTGTTGAGCTTAAAGAGGTCATATTATGCTTTTTGGCTTTTTTCCCCTCTCCTTTATTGAGTTTATATCTTTTTTGTGCATGGATTAGGTTTGCAAAGGGAAAAGTCCAGCCCAAAGGAAAACTCTGCTCTGTACTGCCCTTCAAACAGCTCGTTTGTAGTCCAGCCCTTTCCCTTTCATCCCTATGATGACACAGCAAAATGCTCGTCATAATGCTCGCCAAGTGGCTAGTTCAACACACCCTCGAAACACTGTCATTTGGGAAAAGCTTTTTTGACAATAAATATTAGTTTAGCTTAAATATTGTTGCTGTAAATTCAGAGGTTATGGTCTCTTTGATCATTTGCCATGACAATGTGCAGATAGTGGAAATGCAGGTGGGATCATCCAGTGAGTTTACATGCATTTAGTAGCAAGGTTACTCAGCATATAAAGGCAAAGGATTTCAGTAATCAGATTTTCCCTACCAACCTTTTTTGGGAGCATGGCTTACTGAATGTACACTCACCTAAAGGATTATAGAAACACCTGTTCAATTTCTCATTAATGCAATTATCTAATCAACCAATCACATGGCAGTTGCTTCAATGCATTTAGGGGTGGGTCCTGGTCAAGACAATCTCCTGAACTCCAAACTGAATGTCAGAATGGGAAAGAAAGGTGATTTAAGCAATTTTGAGCGTGGCATGGTTGTTGGTGCCAGACGGGCCGGTCTGAGTATTTCACAATCTGCTCAGTTACTGGGATTTTCACGCACAACCATTTCTAGGGTTTACAAAGAATGGTGTGAAAAGGGAAAAACATCCAGTATGCGGCAGTCCTGTGGGCGAAAATGCCTTGTTGATGCTAGAGGTCAGAGGAATGGGCCGACTGATTCAAGCTGATAGAAGAGCAACTTTGACTGAAATAACCACTCGTTACAACCGAGGTATGCAGCAAAGCATTTGTGAAGCCACAACACGCACAACCTTGAGGTGGATGGGCTACAACAGCAGAAGACCCCACCGGGTACCACTCATCTCCACTACAAATAGGAAAAAGAGGCTACAATTTGCAAGAGCTCACCAAAATTGGACAGTTGAGACTGGAAAAATGTTGCTTGGTCTGATGAGTCTCGATTTCTGTTGAGACATTCAGATGGTAGAGTCAGAATTTGGCGTAAACAGAATGAGAACATGGATCCATCATGCCTTGTTACCACTGTGCAGGCTGGTGTGGTGGTAATGGTGTGGGGGATTTTTTCTTGGCACACTTTAGTGCCAATTGGGCATCGTTTAAATGCCACGGCCTACCTGAGCAGTTTTTGGACCATGTCCATCCCTTTATGGCCACCATGTACCCATCCTCTGATGGCTACTTCCAGCAGGATAATGCACCATGTCACAAAGCTCGAAACATTTCAAATTGGTTTCTTGAACATGACAATGAGTTCACTGTACTAAAATGGCCCCCAGTCACCAGATCTCAACCCAATAGAGCATCTTTGGGATGTGGTGGAACGGGAGCTTCGTGCCCTGGATGTGCATCCCACAAATCTCCATCAACTGCAAGCTATCCTATCAATATGGGCCAACATTTCTAAAGAATGCTTTCAGCACCTTGTTGAATCAATGCCACGTAGAATTAAGGCAGTTTCTGAAGGTGAAAGGGGGTCAAACACAGTATTAGTATGGTGTTCCTAATACCTTTAGGTGAGTGTACTGTTGGTGTAGCTATACTGTTGGTCAGACCGACAGAACGTAAGTTTTTCACACTCTGACAAAAAAATTTTTCTAAATTCAAACGATTTGAAATGTCTTACCTTGCATATTAACCATGCTTTGATATTCACCTGGGAAAAAAGTGCAGAGATAAAGAAAACATGAATATTTTGCTGCTGCCTTATCAAACAGAAGATGATGCTACATCTGCTTAATGATGCATATTCAACAGAATATGGTACAGTGTAGCTAAATTCTTGTCATATTATCTTAAAATAACCTTTTCGAATTTCATGGGTCCACACTGGGACGGTCATTTTTTTGTGTGAGGTTGAGCGTGAAGTTTCTGTCTGGATTTTCAATGTAAACTTCAAAGAAATTTGGGCCTCTGCTTTCACATCTGAGCTTTAAGTCCTGTGAAACAAAATTAAAAAATAATATAAAAAGTAAATGGACTTTGTGATAGAGTACACCAGAATTTCTTTTTTCTTTTTTTTTGCATGTTTTCAAAAAAGGTTAAAAAAATTGGGGTGGGCCAGAGATGGAACAGCGAAGGATCCAAAGCCTGCATATGAGTTCTATGTAGGCCCAAAAATGACGTCAAAACCCTGACATCCAGTCGCCACGACAGATGTAACCGTATTGTTTAGATTACAAACTCCGTGTGAGTTTAAAAGTCATCAGTGATGCTGCATTGGTCTTGTAGGTGGGCCCACTGAGCCAAGAAACTATTTGTTGGCGCAGCTATGTAGCTACCAGAATTTGATGTTTCTGCCGTTGCTCTACGTCATTAAACCATGCTTATGCTGCGCAACCATGAGCAGAAGACAGTGGTGCCAACAGGAAGTAGCCATGTAGTAGCATTTCATAGGACCAAAACTGGCTTCATTACTCTCCATTCAAACCTGCGGGTAGCCAGTAATATAGACTACTGTCTATAGGCAAAATAAACAAACAACTAGACAGGCCTCATGACAATATGCCTGCTGTATCTTAAAATGTTTGTCTCAAATGGATGATCACATATATCGGGTTAGCGAGTTATGACTTCAGATGAAGTACATTTTATTGTCATGAAGACATCACAAATTTCTCATCTTGTTAGCTCAAGATAATAAATACTGCTCATATTATTTAGAGATTTTTAATAACTACGATATTTGTATGTTAACATGCTATCTCTCCCCTAAAAATTTGATAATGAAATAATAATTATTAGAGAAAGCCCTAAAGTAAGAGTTTTTCCTGCTGATTTTACGTTTCAAGCACAAGTCTCTCTTGATTTAAAGTAAAGGTTTTAAACACTACAGTATCATAAATAGGTTACAATTTTTCTGCCTTTTTACTGATATTGTGCTTTTCACTTTAATTTGGGCAGCACTTCCAGTGTTTTTAAGCATGCTATAAAACCTCAAAAACCAGACGTTTTGAGATCCATCTAATCCAAACACCATGCTTAAATGAAACAAGAAACTGCAGTTGTTGGTATCATTTCAGATTTTTAAAACATTTATAAAATAAAACTGAAATGGAGGCAAGTAGAACAGAAATTATCCTTAAAGTCGGAAAGGGTGTTGATCTCTGAGATTTCATCACTACAGTAGCTGGAGAAAGAAACAAGCCTATAGTGCCACACAGCTTGTGTATGGGTGAGTGGAGAGAGGTTTATACAAGACTTCAAGCCTGACAAATATTTTAGAAAAAGTATGCCTTTAACTGTACTGTTATAGATTGGCCTAAGACCTTTGTGTGAGACTATAGTATAGTACATTACCAAAACAAGTAGGTAAAGTTAGATCATTTTGTCATGTTTTCTTGTTTAAAATATCCAAAACCAGAGAAACTGTTGTTCGACCATACTCATCTTCTAGTGTCTTTCTAACGTCTGAACCACAGTTCATTCCATAAATTTCAGTAGTCCAAACCGTACTTTAGGAGAAACTTTTGCACCATTCACATCTGCCTTTAAGATGAAACGATCACGCATTTTCAGGGACTTCTCTGGATGTGGCTTTCTGATTACTTTGTATCCATAAGATACATTCCTGTTGTCCATTGCCTTAAAAAAAAAAAAAAAACACGGTTACATTGGCCAACATTTTTTGTGTGTTGTGTATTTTCTGTGGTGTCTGTATCTTATTCTGATTGGTATTGGTAAAAATAAGATATTCAGTAACCTCTTGTAGACCAGGATCACGTGGGATCAGATAAACATGCAGTGTCAGGAATGCTGTGTTGGTCTGATATATTAACACATTACAGTTTATTTTCACTGGAATGCCAGCTTTCATCAAGACTGCTCTTGGTGAAAAAACTGGTTCAGACAGCTTGACATGGGACGACGTGACCTCAGACACTTTTTCCACAACATCTCCACAGTCATCTATGTGTAGGACTGCAAACTTGTCAGATATTTTAGGGACATCATCTGCACAAAATACAAGAACACACAATTAGTCAGGAGGAAGGAATTGTGTCAGTTTTTTGTGCACTTTACAAAGAATTTTGTACATTTCTTCATGTCCACTTACCAATGCAGATCCAGTGTGGCAGGTACACATCATCAAACCTTCCAGCAATGACTGTGATGTCCATTAGGGGACCTGCAGGTATGTATTTGATGCTTTCCATCCTCTCCATTGGTTCCTCCCAAGAGCAAAACTGGTACCTAAAGCTGACCTTTTCCTTACAGGCCCAGCGCAAGCCAGAGACACTGCATTCAAAGTGGTTTCCTGCTTCAGACTGTAGGCTAAGAAGTGAAGAACAAAACTAGTGAGTTTGTATTAATTATTGTATTAAGGGTGCATCAAGAAAAATGTACTGTACATTTTGGGAGTATGTGTCTTGTGTTTATTTGGTGCAACATGTATTGCCACCATAATTGTCAGATTGCATTGGTATAAATAGGGATTGCACAGAGAAAGATTTAGGTTGTCCTTCTGTAAAGACAAAAAATCCCTAGAAAAGAGCGTAACTGTTTCCTCTAGTTGCAGGTTGCTGTGACGCAGTATTTCGGATGTTATTTTGGTTATTTTTACCTGTAAGTTGGAGCCTCTTCTGCACCTTTACTGTTCACTTCAGGTATTAGTTTAGTCCAGTCACTGGAGTCCTGCTGCAGAGGACAATCATTTTAAATAAATAAGTTTCTTTCAGCAACATCACAAATGAACAAATAAATTACAAATACACTGAATAAATTAATGAATTACCATAATGGTTCCACAAGCCTCAAGCTCCAAACTCCTTGAAGGCCCTTGTAAAAACACATTGGATTAAAAACAAATATGATGTTATGTTGACATATAAAATCATATTGTAACTTTCCATATGTTTTGCTCGTATACCACTATGGGTTACTTAGCTCTGCTCTAATATGAGAGCAATATTTAACAGTAGGTAGTGTTTTAACATTATAATATGACAGTAAGTCTAAACAGTCTGTCGCAGCCGTTAAAATAAATTGTTTAGTTAGGCCAAATATTATGAGCATTGTTATTCAGGTTATGTGTAATATGAATATTTTATTATAACTTTAGGTTACATTTGTTTCATATAGTATACAGACTGGTCATGTACTGCCCCACCTTTTACTATTAGGCGCAGGTAATATTGTGAGTTTTCAGTAAATGTTAGGGACTGGAGCGTTTTTGATATACAGTCTTTTCACCACTATCGGAGCACTTTTTATGGCATAAATGGGATTTATTATAATAAAAATAAAACAATTATTATTATGATAAACAATAATCTGGTTAGAACAAATGTGAACACAACACGCACTGTGTATTGGCAAGAATATGGCAATGCGATTCATATCACGATACAGGGTTACAATTCAATATATCGCAATACTGTAAGCAAGGCAATATATTGAGATTTAAAAATATATATATAACTTTAGGTTTGTTTTTCGTAAAAGAATTTCTGGTTTACGTTGTTTAACCTGTCAATTTTTTTCTGGATTAATCTATTTGTTGTTTGGTCTATAAATTGTCAGTGAGTGTTTGCCAAAGCCCAAGATGATGTCCTCAAATGCCTTGTTTTGTCCACAACCCAAATATATTCAGTTTACTGACATAGAGTAAAAAAAAATAGAAATATTCACATTTAAGAAACTGGAAGAAGAAAATTTTTACTTTTTTTCTTAAAAAAAAAAAAGAATCAAACCGATTAATCAATTATCAAAAGAGTTGGTGAATAATTCAACTGTCCCTTGACGGACACCGGCTTACATTAAGTCCTGCCTCCTATTCTGCATCTGATGAGTACCGTTGTTGCTGTGAGTGCTACAAATGAAATTCATTTCACTCCTATTGTATTTGATGAAGAAATCTCAGAGAACGATATTGTGAAATCTTAGCAAATAAAAATGCTGCAGACACCACTGCTAGTAAGTGAGGGATTTTTGTTTTGTTTGTGTGTTTGTAGTTTGGGAGCTTTAAAACTTTAAGGGTAAAGATTTGGACTTTTTAAATTGTGGATTTCAAGAATTTGAGAAGCAATCTTTACACCAAAACGTGTAAGGCCTACATTTCATAATAATGAGACTGCATTCTCAAAATGCCATTTTTAAATGTTCTTATGTCTGAGGTATCATTTTGTTTAGATTTGATATTAGATGTCAGCACATACATTAGTTACAATGAAATTAATTTAATTGGATGACATTCAGTTTAATTAAGTTACTTTCATACTTTACTTTCATGAGAGTCTAGTTATTCTATTGCTGTGGACTGTGTTACAAGACAGTCTACAGTCATGCTAGTGGCTCTGTGAGGCTGTCATCTTAGTTTAGTGTTTTATCATTAGTTAATTGGCACAAATCACAAACAACAGCTGAGCCTGATGGAAATGGTAGTTTTGCAGGTATTTGCATTAAAACATGGTTGACCTGATGGTTGTGCCAGATGAAAAGTCAGCCAATCACCAAAGTGATTATGGTTTAATCCTCTAAGCACCACAAATGTATGTATAAGATGTCATGGTAATCCATCCAACTTGCTGGTGGCACTCTAGGAAAAGTCCAGGGATCATTAAAGACAGTATGATCCATTGTTTTCTGCACAAAATGCCATGGCAACAGTTGTTGTTAATTCAGTCCGAACCAAAGTGGCACATGACCAACAAACAGAGGCATTGTCAGTTCTAGATAATATAACAATAAAATATTTAAAACAAATAAAATGGCTGCCTGGCTGTCCACGTATATTTTGAATTATGAAAACAAAAAATTTAAGTAAAATAATACAGACCACACTCTGTATACCAAATTTTTGATATTCAAATAATACTGTTTTTTTTCTCACAACTTACCTTTAGATCCTGAGCTGATGTCTGACAACTTCTGCACCAGATCAGTCATGTTCATCTTCTTTAAAACCTTCCGTTCAATTGGCTGCCTGGCTGTCCACATGTATTCTGAATTAGGAAAAAAAAAAATTTAAGTAAAATAATACAGACCACACTCTGTATACCAAATTTTTTATATTCAAATAATACTGTTTTTTTCTCACAACTTACCTTTAGATCCTGAGCTGATGTCTGACAACTTCTGCGCCAGATCAGTCCTGCTCATCTTCTTTAAAACCTCCCTGGTCACCTCCACTGACTGTTGGCCGTAGATCTCCACCATCAGCTACACTATTTCAAATCTGTCTGCCATCTCTATCTGGTGTCTTGGGATTCTTGGGAGGCCTTCGTTCACGTGTTTGTGCTGCAGGAGACACTTGAATTGCTGGAGCTCCCCAAAACTTAAATCTTCCAGTGTTTCGAAAAGCTTCCTCTGAAGTGATGTCATGTTCACTTTCTGATGGATTCAAAGTGATCAGAGAGGCATTTATGTGATACCTTCACTGTAGTGATAAAACATTCATTTATTTGCATCAACATAAGTTTCTGATTAATGAGACAATTGTATGATTCATTTAATCATTCGGTGATGTTTCTGGTTTAAAAACCTTAGTAAAGAGGTGGTCTTTACTATCACTATGAGGATAATTTTAAACCTGTCCCTATTAAATGATAGTTGTGTTGTGTTACGTGTGTAATGTGTAACATTACTCACTTTCTGGAACTGTTTAGACAGATGTTTCTCTGACAAGAAAGAAAAACAGAAAATGACCGATTCAAAATCATAAAATTGCAAACAGCATTAATTGCAAAATAACACTAAAATCTGCTCGCTTCTGACATCATAAAAATCAATCAGAGAGAGAGAGGTTGGACACCATATCATCAACACCTATTAAGTAACACTAACATTAACACAATTGTTGAAAGATTCTTGTTCAAAATGTGTCAAAGTATATAATTTACACTGTTGGCAAATTAAAATATTCAGTGTGTCAGTGAGGTGTTGAATCATTTTGTTTCTATTAATTATAAAATCTATTTATGAGACACAAAGTTGCAGTTTTGTCTTCTGTCTCTAACCTTTGGGTCCTGAGCTGGTCTCTGACAACCTCTCCACCAGATCAGTCCTGTTCATGTCCATGAAAACCTCCTTGGTCACCTCCACAGACTGCTGGCCACAGGTCTGCACCATCAGATTCATTAGTACATGCGCACTGTTTACCCCGTCCACTTTGCTCCTTGGGATTTGTGGGAGGCTTTTCTGGAAGTACGTAAACTGCAGCAACCGCATGAATTTCTTGAGCTCCATAAGACTCAAATACTCCAGGGTTTCCAAAAGAATCTGTTTAACAGCTGCCTGAAAAATTCAAAGAATACGTTAAGCAAATACATTTATTACATTCCTGTGACAGAAACAGAATATTTTATTATTTATTGTCAGAGCATTTAATTATTTGATTGCTGTCAAGCTGTAATGAGAATTTCAACAAAAAATATAACCCCAGCTTTAACGCTGTGAGATCCATCCAATTTAAAACATTTGTTTTGGTTTGTGTCATCATTTATGATGTTCAAGATGAGGATGGTTTTCAACTTGAATCTATTGAATGAAAGGTGTGATGTGTAAAGTCAGACTCACTCTCTCGAATGGTGCAGGTTGATGTTCATCCACAGAGTGTTTCTCTGAGGAGAAAAGAAATTCATTATAAGCATTATAATCTGATTTAACACAGAGTAATAAGGCTCAGTAACTTTAAAAATAAATAAAACAAATTCACTACAAAATGATATCATAGACACATTTACAATCTAGTCCTGTAACAAATAAAAAACTAAATAAACTCAATAAACCCATAACTTTCAGATTTTCTTGCGAGTGTGACGTGTGTTTATTAAATTCATTGATGATTTACTGATCCGTTTTTATATTCACATTGGTGATGATACTCATCATTCACTCAAGCAGACTCACTTTTTTTAAATCAGAAATTAGAAAATGTATTTATTAGACATTTATGGGATACGTGATAATGCAATGTGACATTTTTTGGTCTTCTTTGTCTTACCTTTGAGTCCTGAGCTGGGCTTTGTCAACCTCTCCACCAGATCAGTCCTGTTCATGTCCATGAAAACCTCCTTGGTCACCTCCACAGACTGTTGGCCGTAGTTCTTCACCATCAACTCCACTATTTCTGCTCTGTCTGTGTGTCTCAACGTCCATGAGATGTATGGGAGGTCCTGGGAGACAATCCACTGCAGGAACTCCTTGAATTTCCTGAGTTCTTCATTACTCAAATCATTCAGGGTTTCCAAAAGCAGCTGTTCAACAGCTGCTATTGTTGCGACCTGAAATGATCAATACATTCAATGGGAAATGTGTGTCTCTGCATCTCATCAATGGTATAGGTTCCTGTGGTAATTGTTGTTGCATTGTTTACAAAATGTTTACTTTTTTAAATGATTACTCTGTTTGTGTTATCTTTTTTTTGAGAAACACAAAGTAAAAGCAAAAGATTACCTTTGACCCCATTTTCATTGTTTCATGTTTTGTTTAACGCTTTAAAAACAGTTTAAAGTACGATAAATAGAAGTTTCATCAGTGTTTATTTTGCTTACTGTCTGGATCAGTGCAGAAGGTTTCTCTGAGGAGAAAAGTGGTAAAAGTAATGAGTGATTGATCCAACATCTGACAATAAACAATGTTATTAGGCAATACGGCTTTCCAAATATTTATAAAACACAAAATTACACTTAAAGCTGTTTATATATAAAATATAAAAAAAATTACATATTAAATGTATTTTTAACTCCTCTAGTGTGTGTGTGTGTATATATAAAAAGACATAGCTCTTAAACTTATGAGACACATGTTAAAGACCACTTTTAACATGAATTTGTCTTTATTGTCTTACTTTTGGATCCTGAGCTGCCGTCTGACAACCTCTGCACCAGATCAGTCCTCTCTATCCTCTTTAAAACCTCCTTTGTCTTCTCCACAGACTGTTGGCCGTAGACCAGCACCATTAAAAACACTGCAACCTGCATGTCTATTGTCTCCAGCTGCATCAATGAGATGTCTAGGAAACGTCTGCGCAAGTGAAATTGTTTTAGGAGGACTTTCTTGATGTTCCTAAACTCCCCGTCACTCAAAACAGCCAGCGTTTCCAGGAGCAGTTCTATAACAGACGCCATCATTTCCACCTGGTGAATTAACAGGAAATGTTCATGGATCAAAAGTGCAGTTAATCAGCTGGAATGATTTTTCTGCTCACATCTCATCAATGTCTGTGTTGTAGCTGTGTGTAGATGTGGATGTGTTAAGAGTACATCACCCATATCACACAAGGTATTGATACAGCTGGTAATATTTGTCCAGTTGATCACATATACCTGTTTTTTTTACAAATCACTTGTACGTTTACGTTTTTCTCTTTATAAACATTAAGGTAATTCACTTTTATCTTCTTCTTCTATCTTATCAAGTATTTTATTTCTGTTAACAGGTTCATGACTTTTTTTTTACCTGCTTAAGACATTTGTCATGTGACAACATGACAAACTGAATGCAGCTCCGGTATAGCTTCAAAACTTTTTATCAAAACTAGGATTTTGGTTTGTTCATAATTTATCATATTTAAGGTGAGGATGATTTTGAACCTGAATCTACTGAATGAAAGCTGTATGTGATTATTTTCGTTATTGATTAATCTGCCAATTGTTTTCTTAATTAATTGATTTATAGTTTGGTTAATAAAATGTCTGAAAATAGTAAAAAAATACCAATCCCAATCAGGTCTATGATGATGTCTTCCAGTGTCTTGTTTCGTCAGACAACAGCAAAAAAACTCAAAGACATTCAGTTTACAATGATACAAAACAGAGAAAAGAAGAAAATCCCCACAACTGAGAAGCTAGAACCAGAGAATGTTTGGCATCAGAAAAAACACCTAGCAAAATAGTTGCAATTTATTTTCTGTTCAATTAACTACTGGATTAATTGTTTCAGCTTTAGTTTAACGTCAGACAAATGTGACATCACTCACTTCTTGGATCAGTGCAGGCCAATGTTCATCTGCAGAGTGATTTTCTGAGGAAAAAGGAGAGAAAAAAGACTAATGATTAATCAATCATCAGGCTTTATAATCAGACACTGTCAGACTATATAAATTCTAAGAATAAGGATTCATTGCAAAATGGACAGAATCAGAATTAGCTTTAGGTCTACACGTACAAGGGCTGTGTCAAAAAATGTGTAATATGGCAGTTTGTATAGTGAATGCAAAATATCATCACAAAACAAAGGCAGCTGGTCTGTATCAATAATACATGTATTGCACAGATCAGTAAAATGAATGTAAAACACTAATAAAATGCAATAAAAATGTGAAATATGGGGTCCGGAGTCATTATGTGTGTAGATTTACAGTCTGAATGTCCTTTGGAAGAAACTGTTATTTACATGTTATTAGTGTTTTCATTTTTTAAAGGGCACCTACCTTTCTCTGTGGTACCAAATGCTTCAGCTGATGATCCTGCAGCTGCAACATGTTTAATGAAAATTGTAATTATAATGATAAATACACTGTGTGTAGCATTTTTGCATACTTGTTCTAACTATAATACTCAGTCTTGAGAATAAAAAGCCTTTAATATTTCAGTGGCAGGTATGTGAGGGAAGAAAAGCCATTCTAAAGACAATTCAACAGACTCATGTGCAGACAATTATGCAACATCAGCCAAATTCCTATCAGGCCATATACAACACAAGACTGGAAATATGTGGCCAATAAAGAAGAATATTTTCAATGAAAATATGTTTAGAGCCTAGACCTTTGTAAAAATAACATTTACAAAAAAGAACCAAAGTCAATAGATTCATACATACATAATGTGAGATATATTCTACATATAAAGTCTAACATTTAGGAAACAGTGTCCATACACTTTGACTGCGTTTAAGTACCATTGGTGTAAACACAGCGTTCACCAACTCTCATGTCACCGGAGCCTTGCCCTCAACCTGCTGAGTAGATATTGACAGGCCAGGTCTGTGTAAAGATGTGGGCATAAAAGTCTTTGATTTTCTGGTGTTTGGCAGCATGAGTGCCATTTCGTCCAGACTGGACATTTACCAGAAGCAGCCTTAAGTTGAAGCTGGGCCAGCATGGCTCTATCTTTCCTCTGCTCTAGGGCGATCACAGCCCCTGCCGTGGTGCCTGGTCCTGATTATGTACATAAACATGCATATTGAGCAGTAGTACAATATCAGCACAGGAAATGCTGGGTTCAAAGTAAAATTCATTAAGCTGATCCATATTGGGGCGATGTGCTAGGAGCAGCCGATCGAACACAGCTACTCTATGGCTCAGAAGGAACAGTATTGTAGTATTGTGAGGGAACGCAAAACATATTTCGAGATAACACAAAAGTAGTCCTCAAAAAATCTTCTGCCCTGACCTTTAGGGGGCTCCATGATTTTCACATTTAGTTTAGCATTTTTTGGTTTTTGCATGCATAAGTAACTTGAATTTCTTAAATTAGGCACTTCAAAACAGAAGTACTAATCTACAGAGTAGGAAACACATTGCTTTATTTTTTTGGACGATGGACAGCTAACTGTGGAAGCTTCTTTTGTTAAGTTTTGTTGAGACTGTGTTAGAGAGGTGTTGATTCAACTCTTTGGTACTTTTTTGTCATAACATCTACTGTATGGTTTTTGCATTTTTTATACTGTGAGCTGCACTTAATAATTTGCCTTGCAAACTAAGCACAAACGATTGACTTAATCTGTGCATATGTATGTGTTATTATAAATTAACGTGACAATTTCTTCTTTATTTTACCTGTAGGTCCTGAGCTGGTCTCTGACAGCCTCTGCACCAGATCAGTCCTGTTCATGTCCATGAAAACCTCCTTGGTCACCTCCACAGACTGCTGACCGCACATCTCCATCACCATATCCACCACTGCGCCTCTCCTGTCTGTCATGAGCATCACTTTCCATGAGATGTCTGGAAAGCTCCTCGGGAAGAACCTAAACCGCAGCAACCACTTGAACTTCTTCAGCTCCCAGTAGCTCAAATATGAGAGTGTTTCCAAAAGCAGCTGTTTAACAGCCGTCATCGTTGCCACCTGGAACATTAAGTATAAGTAGAAAAAAATTATATACTTAAAGAGAAAATATGTTATTTCTTCACTGTAAAAAAAAACAAATCAACATTTACCGTTTAGCATCTTATCAGTGTCATTATTTTAGATGTTTGACTGTTTTTAGATGTGCTTTTCTACAACATCACCTAAGCTATGGATACATTTGGAAATTTTCTGTTTTTTAGAGCAGAGGATAATTACTATTCCTTCCCTGATTAATAAAAAAGATATTTTTCAATATCATGTTTTGGATTTTGTTCAATTCTTTGAAAAAAAGATTATCGAGCTCAACCTAATCTCAGCTTCAATTCTGTGAGAAACATCAAATTTAGAGGTTTGGTATCACGATATGATTTTAAACCTGCATCTTATTGAATAAGAGCAGCACTCTGCATGGTCAGACAGGTATGGCATTGCTCACTTTGTGGATCAGTGCAGACATGCGTTCATCGACAGAGGGTTTTCCTGAGGAGAGACAGGACATAAAAACGAGTGACTGACATCAGGCAAAAATGCTTTGTAAAAGAATTCTAATATCAAGGGGTCAATACGAAATATACTCAAACCTTATCAACAGTTACATATTTTTTATATTTCACATTAATCATTAATTTTATTTTGTACACCAGATGATAAGTCTTCTTCTCTCTACATTATAAACTATATTATTCATAATGTGAAGAGAAGACGTTTGTAACATAGCTTATAAACTTAGGAGACATGTGTCAAGTATGATTTTAACATGTTTTTGTCTTTACTGTCTTACTTTTGGGTCCTGAGCTGCTGTCTGATAACTTCTGCACCAGATCAGTCCTCTTCACCCTCTTTAAAACCTTGTTTGTCTTCTCCACAGACTGTTCGCCATAGCGCTGCACCAATAAAAACACCGTGTCCTGACGGTCTCTCATTATGAGCAACTTCTGTGGGATGTCTAAGAAGTGTCTGTGGAAGTTTGTTTGAAGCAGGAAATCCTTGAACAGCTGAAACTCCCTGTCACTCAAATCTGCCAGCATTTCCAGAAGCAGCTCTATAACAGACGCCATCGTTTCCACCTGGTAAATATATTGGAAATCACTTCATGTTCACATCTCATCAATGTCTGTGTTCAATTGATGATATTTGTCTACTTAAGCACATTAACATTTTTTTGTTTTACAAACTGCTTCTATGTGTAAATGTCTTTAGTAACGTCAGGGTTACAACCCTTTGTTCTATTTTAAAAACAGTTTATTTCCATAAGAAGGTACGTGTTGCATCTTTTCTTCTAATATAAAAAAGTAATCAAATACACTGATTTACTTTTTTCTGTTTTTAAAGAATTGTGAATTCCTCTCTCTGTCAAAGTAAGAAAAACTGATCAAGGAGAATACCGAGGTAGATATACAGGTAGATATAACACATTCATTCTTAAGACCCCATGTGTACATTATGTAGCTTGATCGGTTCAATTCAGTGAGAAAACTTACTTTAATGTTCAATCTCCATCAATTATAATGTTCGAGATCAACAAGATTTTCAGTCTTCATCTACTGAACAAAAGCTGCATTGTGTAAAGTCAGAATGATGTGACATAGCAACTCACTCTCTGGATCAGCGAAGGCCCCTGTTCATCCACACGGTGTTTCTCTAAGGGGGAAAGAAATTAAAAAAGACCTCAAAGTAATTAATTTAACATCAGTCTTTATGAAGATTTATAATACAAAGGATTTAACCCCAAAGTCAAACTTAAATCTCCGTAACAGTGACAATAGCTCCGTTATGATTTTCCAACAGTGTTAATGGATTTGGATGCATTTGTTTTTGCAACATGGAAAAGTAAAAAAGTATTTTACTCCAGCTGATGGACTTTCCTATTTTTATGTAATAAAATATAAAACATATATTTTTCTTGCCTTACCTTTGGTTCCTGAGCTCATGTCTGACAATCTCTGCACCAGATCAGTCTGGTTCCTCTTCTTTAAAAGATCTTTGGTCAGCTAAAATGTGATGGCAGTACTACAATAATAAAAACATTGAAATAAATAAACCTGTTCAAAATATACTTCCTTTGTTCAACTATGTGGAAAATTAGGAAACAAGTTTATATTCAGACCTTGTGTTTAGAGTTGACAAGCAGAGATGACTGTGTATATAATACCTGCACACCTACCTTTGTATTTACATCAGTTGCTGCCGCTGATGTATGGCAAATTCAGACTTCAGAACAATGTATTGTTCTTAGACATTCTGCATACATCTGTTGTCTTATAACCCTAAATGGTAAAATGAATGTTGTCTTTCTTTAACGATCAGAGCAACAAGAAAACAAGGACATTTTCAGCCAAAGAAAAAAATTTAAGAAATGAAAAAACAAGTTGCAGGATAAGTACATGGCAAATTATGAGCTTTTGAAGCACAATCCACCAAAAAGGTACAAAGCAGAGTGCGGTAGAATAAGCTAACGTTACACTTTTGAACTCATTCAATCTGAACTAAAGACACAGTGTAGTCTAAAATATGTCAACTGTGACAAATGTCCATAACTAAATCCTGGAGCACAAAGTGAATACAAAACACATAGATAGAGACCCATAGTATTTAATTTCCAGTGACACAAAAGAGAAAAGTTCAAGTTCTTACATTTGAGAAGCTTAAAATGCTAAACCAGAGAATGTTTGGCATTTCTACTTGATTTATAAAATGACGTGATTGATGACCAGACTGAATGACCGGATTATTAAAATAATGAACTATAAATTAGACATTTCCATTAAAACAATTTAGTATTAGTCTAACACTATTAACATGAATCATGGTGTTGTGATGCCATCTGAGCTGGGGCCAGGGGCCCTGTCCTTAAATAGAGACAGGACAACTGTTATTTTCTCATTATGCTAATTAACCGAGCATGGCTGTTTTTCTCTCACACTCACTGCATCGTTGTGTTCTTATTTCTTATCTGGCAGAAATGTTGTGTCAAAGCACTTTGGATACTTAGCAAGCAACCTGTTTTGGACATACAAGCTAGTTAAGTGTCAGCTAGTAATGCATCATTAGTATTAAACTTATCATCAGGGGCGCCGCCAGGAATTTTGGGCCCCATGACAAGAAAATCTAATTGGTCCCACAATGCATGAATATATATAAATAAATGTATATATATATATATATACACATACATACACATACACACACACATATACATTTTCTTTTTTGTTATTGAAAAAAAGAGCTAGAGAGACAGAAATCCCCACAGACTCCATGGAATGACGCTAACTGGCGTGTCATTAACACAATGTTGCTCACCTTCTTCACTGGGACAGGGAGGGGGACAGTTATGGGGAGACTGGGGTGCTGCTGACTCATCTGTTGTTAAGTCTGCTAAAATGACAATGATTTAATGTAAATATCTTGCTAAACGTTTTTCTGCACTGATGAAATATTGCTGAATTGTAGGCTAGCACTAGTCTGTAGCTAGCTAGTTTATTTCACTATGGACATTAATCCAGCAGGTTAATCCACACAGATTGTAGGCTACCCACCTTTCGTGGTGAAAAACTGGGTTACTGATTGGCATCCCTTCCCTTGTCTTTCACTCTCTCTTTTCTCTTTCCTTTTTTGAAAACCAGATTTTGGATTTCTAAGCAACATTGCGATCACTGTATTTCGGCGCATCTACTAACTGCAACTAAACACCATCGAGTGCACTAAGGCAGGACCAAACCAACTCATGCACATACAGGGGGGTGGTTGGTCAATATCGATGTTTACTTTAGGTCAATGTGGATATTTTATTTATTTAATCTTTTATTGCCAAAAACAAGTGAAAACAAAAAGTTTGTTCATTTTATTATTATATTTGAAATATATACTTAATGATTGTTTATATAATGTATAATAAAATATAATTTTATATTAGTTTTTATGTATTTTTTTGGAATTGTCCAAACTTTTCCCCCCTATACAGCGCCCCACATATTAATGTTAATAGCTGCCACGCCTCAAGAGGAAGCAAAGCTAAAAGTGAAACTAAAAACGAACCTATAACGTTAAACGTTATAACTTATTACCGTTTTTAAAACAACTTAGTGGCCTAGCTTCAGTTGAAATCTGTCCACTTATGTTAATAATTGCAGAAAACCATGAACGGGGCTGCTATTTGATAATAAC